CGGCGGCAGGGACATGCTGCGGGCGCAGGGTGAGTGCCGTGCTGGCGCTGGCGTTCTCAAACATGCTCTGGTCCACTGGAGAGGGAAAGGGAACAGAGAGAGGGTGTGAGCCAGGCTGGAGGGGGTCCCTGGCAGAGACGGCACATCCCAGAGGTACCCACCAGCTACCAACCCAGCAGCATGAGAATACAATTTGGGGGACAGGGAGGCTGCTCCTGCAGACCCACAGAGGCTGTGGGCAACCGGGCCATGCCAGGGTTGCACAGGGCGGTGCATGCACTGGGGACAGCACGGGGTCAAGACAGGGTAGCAGAGAGTCCAGGGCTCCATTCTGGCACTGCCAACACACCGAGAGCATCTCTTACCTGACACCGAGCAACTTGGGAAGCAGATTGTGGAAAGAAAAAGAGAAAGAGAGAGGATTTACCGAAGGGATGGCAAGGGGACAGCGGGCCTGTCCCTTCCGCGCTGCCAGGTGAGGTGTGCTGCTGACCCCCTGCCTGGATCTGCCACACTGCCTGCGGAGATGGGACTCACGTGAAGCCCTTATCCACCAGGCACCTGTGAAGCAGTGAGGGGTTCTCTGGGGGCACCCACAGCCTGGGCTCTGCACTGCCCACCCCACCAAGGCTCCCTCTCTAGCCCAGGCTGGCTGTCCTCTTGCGCTGACCAAGCTCCCCAGAGACCCTGGGCCCAAGCACACTGCCCAGGAGCATCCTGCTGTACACCATACACATGGGACATCAGCCCTTTGTGACATCAACCGACGATGGCACGGGTATCATGGCGCAGGAACCACACACCAGCTATGCAAGGGTGATGGAGAGCTTTGTCCTGCCTGCCGTTTCCATTGAGGCCATGCCCTGTGGCACCACGACAAGAAGCCCAGAGGCCTCGTGCCCCTGGGGCCCTGCCAGCCTGCCCGGTGAGTCTGACACCCACCAGCCATGGCCAGGCAAGGGGTGCAGGCAGCCAGCACTGCCTGTGGGGACGGCTCCTCCTTGCACCCCCTGGGCACGGCCATGGCACTGCTCAGCCTTCCACAGCACAGCGAGGGCCTGCAGGCAGATGGGCTGTGGAGGGGTTTGGCTGGGTATGTCTTCCTGCATGAGTGGGGAAAGGGGACTGGGTGGGTCCGCGACAGCAGGTGCTTTCTGGAGACTGGGGGCGTCCTGCAGTCACACCCCACCTCTGAGCAACACTGATTTCTCCCCCACATCTTCCCAGCAAGAATCCTCAAAGCTGTGGGTGCTGTCCCCAAGAGCACCAGCTCAGCCCTACCGTCACTGTCCCTGTGCCAGTGCAGCTCTCCACGGGATGACTCCAGTGGGCAGTCAGGTGAGCCTTTTGCTTGCTGGTGCCTTGGTGCCCATCAGTGTCCTGTGCCCATCTCTGACCCTGCATCCTGTGAGGGAAGCGATGGTGCCCTCCATGCTGGGGGGATGCACCAGGACAGAGCCAGCCAGGTGAGCCTTGTGCTTGCCGGTGCCTTGGTGCCCATCAGCGTCCCTGCATCCCATGGGGGAAGGGATGGTGCCCTCCATGCTGGGGGGATGCACCAGGACAGAGCCAGCCACTTCTGCATCCCATGGAGACAGAGAGGAAAGGTTCCCAGCACTGCTCGCAATCCCGTGGGGAAACGGCTCCTACAGGGACCCCCAACTCACCACAGGTCCTTTCCTCCACAGCCTGTGGCCCTGCAGCCCCACCAGACAGCGGGATCCCTGCCTGCACCATCTTCCGGCCCTGGTTCTCACCCTACAGCTACTTCATGTGCTCCGAAGGAGGCACCCAGCAGCACCTGGGCAGCCTCTCCTCCATCCTGTCCACCAGCACCCAGGAGCCTGAGGAGCCCGATGACCTCTTGGAGATCGTCTGCTCTTCCTCTGACTCCTCGGATGAGCCCCAGCCCCCCAAGAGGGACAGGCTGGCCCGCGGGCGGACCCGCAACAACGTC